TATTTTTAATAACTTTAATAATTAATTTCTACAACTTAATAGTAAAATTTAATGTAATTTAATTCCAAAAATATATTTTATTTATTAAATCGAACAATATACTATAAAAAATATTTAAAACTTTATATAGGTAATTACGATTTTAAAACAAATATTCAAAAAAAGCTTTAAAAAAAAAATCGTAACATTAACCCAAAAAATAGTGTGAAAAAATTAATTAGTAATTTTAAGAATTTTAAAGTTGTTAAAATGCTAAAGTTGTCAATCATTTTTTAACCAATATTCTCGAAAAAAAACCTTACTCGTCCACAAATTGTGAATCCAGAAAAATATAATAAGTTACACAAATTGTAAATCCAGAAAAATATAATAAGTTACAAATGAATTGATGTGAAAAATAAAAAGAGTGAGACTAAAATAATACAATTAAACATCAATTATTTTTTCTTTACAATTTAAGGTTTTAACAATATAAAATACAAAGATGCATTCCGACATCTCTGTTGAGATAATGCAGATATCTCGACTGAAATAAAATATACGACAACTTCTCTGATTAATAGATTTTTTTTACAAACGTATTTGATGTAAGAAAAAAAACGACCAATCAATTTTTTAGAGAACTCTAGTGAATATTGATAACTTATAAAAACATACAAGTTGATGATTTGTGCAAAAGAAGATATCTTCCATATGCATACGCTGTGATTTTTATTAATGTATAATCTATTTCTTTTCACATATAACATTGTACATGTCCAACAATTTACTCCAAATGCTTAATCTTCTAACAGAAATAATTATTTAGTACAACAACAATTTTTTGTAATATTAAATACATAAATTATCAATAAGTTAGAATTTTTGCATATCTTACCATGTTAATTTTTAAATCTACGCAACGCATAGACAATCTCTAGTTTTTAGTATACGATGTTTCTGAATACATGTTTTTGTATGAAATGTTCAAATAATTCCTTGTGTGTTAATTGTTATCACTTTTCATAACGGCCATTGTTTTAGTTTAGCCTACAATCACACTTATGAATTTAGACCGAGAATCGTCAGATAAGTAGACTTAAACTACAAATTCATTTGTGAATGAAAATCATAAAACATAGCCTATCTCCTTCCTATTAAAAGATAAGTATAATTAGTGAAAAATCTTAGGTGTTTTAATTCTATTGGTATAAAATTATGACATGTCTTTGAAAAAATAGTGATATGGCTAAACTATCTAATTAATCTTAAAACATAAATATGATTCCAACAAAATAAACTATAAAATTTGTTAGCATTATATACGAATTTTTTAAAATATTCGAAACAATAAATCTAAATAGTAATTGATTTCAAAAAAAGATAGTAATTGATTATTTCAAAATATGTCAAGACCATTTTTTTAGTTTCAATTTTTTTTTCTGTTTTAGAAGCAAATATTAACAAGATTTTCAATATTTAAATTAATTAAAATTTGGTGCAGAAGAATATGCCTAATTATATTTTCATTTTTAAAAAAATCAGTTGTAGGAACAAACATTTAGATTTTCTATATTGGATTTGAAAATGTTAAAAAAATTAGCAAAACAGTTACTTCAATTTTTACCAGAACAGAAAGTAACACTTATATTTATATTAATGTTTACAATTGCAAAAATACCACTTAAGAGTGTCCATTTGCAAAAATGCCACTAATTATAGATTTATAAAATCTGTATCTTAAAATTTTAAACCCTAAAAAATATTTTGACCCCTAAAACCATCTAAACACTCAAAACTAAACTCTAATACAACATAGTTAACCCAAACATAAGTTATATAATGAAAAAATAATTTTGAAAAAGTGACATTTTTGCAAAGATTTTCAAAAGATGGCATTTTTGAAAAATGACACTTAGAAAGTGGCATTTTTTGAAATTTCTCATAATTTTATTGGCTTTTTTTTGTTTCATGTTTAGTTTTTAGATCTCAATAATTTAATTGGCTCTTGGTATTATTTTTTTTTTTTGATTAATGAAAAGAATTAGTTTTTTTTTTATGATTTTGATTGTTAGGCGCATTGGATGATTTTTTAAAGATCTCAATCCTACTCAAAGGTTCTTCTTCATCCTACCATTTTCATACAATTGTCTTTCTCATATGTGTTTTGCCTTGAAGTATATTATGATTGAGTTTACATAATTTCAATTCCAAGTTTGAAACTTCTATTTTTCTTGTCAAAACCAAGTTTGAGACATATTATCCGCAATGTTAAAAAGGTCGCTCCACGCAACATCAACAAAGCAAAGAGTGCCCGTCAAAGGTAAAGAGGTGTTTTCTTTTGCCTTACTATTGGTGGTTCGTTTAGGTAGGGAGAGTTGATCCGTTTACAATTTTTTGTTTTTATCACATTCGCAACGTTTTCTGGAATAGAAAATAATATTGTCTTATCAAAACATATTTTTCAAAATTAATCAATATATTATTCAAAAAGTGAGAAGAACTCATGATAAAAGTTGGGATGATTGATAAAAAAATTATCTTTAATATTTTTTTTAATACGATTAACTATTATAGATTATCGGCCAATGTTTTATTCGCTATTTAAGATGTAGAGAAAGTATCGTATAGAGAGGAGTATGTAGTGGTTTTGTTTGAGAAATGTGAAATCATTTTATTTTATTTTTATTACAAAAAATTATAATAAATTAGTTGAGAAAGTATCGAAAAAAAATTTGGCTAAGAATTTGCTCAGAATGTTGGTCGATACATTTATAGAAAGTAAAAAATGTTTACTTGGGATTTTAAATGGTGACACACACTTTTGACATTTCATACGAAAAAATGAAGACAACTAAGTTGAATAATTATGAGGCGAAATTTTTTTCCGGATATGGTAGAGATGAATTGTATATAGTAATTTGGCTATTGAGATCAACGATAGTATCCAAATTTGAAAAATTAATCACATCTAAAAGTAAACATTATAAAAAAATTAGTTGATCAATATTTTCTCTTTTTATTTTTACCTTGAGATGATACCCAAAAGATTAGATTTCACCTCAAAGAGTGTAACAAATGGTAAGAAGAAATGACTTTGATCAAACTAATTATCTTACGGGAAGTTCTGTGAAGTGAAAATGTGGTTTTGTCTTCTGAAAAATCATAGACAGTTGGCAAGACTATGACAGTTGGCAAGACAGTTATCCTTGATTTATTCCAAGAAGTTTCAATTACTCACAATGACTTTTAATCTTAGCTATATTTTGATGGGATTCCTCTTCTTTCTTACCATCACCAAAATATTACATTTATAATATTTATTTCTTACATACATATAATTTTAAAATAAACAATCATGTGCAATTAATTTTGATAAATGATAAAATCAAAATATTAAACACCAAAATTATTTTATTCTTTAAATTTTATATCTGTACATAGTATGGGTCGATCACCTAGTGCTCTTTTAAGTGGGAATTTTAAGTGGGAAGATAGAATCTAAAAAAATGTGAAATAGATAGAGAAAGAGTGGGGCATATATATAGTAGACAATAAGACAAAGTGAATTTGGTGGGTAATGTACAAATGTGTATAGTACGATCCGTGCTTTTGGATAACATAACTTCTTTAACCCAAACGACATTCTTAGCTGTCTCACCCACATGAATGACCTTCTATAAGTTAGTTTTCATTATCAATCATGTATCTTCCAAATGAATTTATTTATTTATATAGTAGTATATTCTTTGTTGCCCTCACATAAATGATAAATCTAATCACCCAACAAATACCAGACTTAATCATAGCTTAAACCAGATTTAATTACGAGTACTTCCTTAAGCATTTTATATATATATATATACTAAAAATTAACAGTAAAACGTGTTGACATGATTTCGCCGCTCAATGTGGGTGGCAATAGCCATTTGCCGGCTATCTAACAGCACATATATTATTCTTTTTTATATTGACATTTATTATGTTCTGTCAGATTATATTTTAATTATTTTTTAAATTCTATGTATAATACATTTCTTACGTCTTGTATCAGTCAGTAATTTAAACTAGTTTTGAGAAAAAAAAAAATATTTATTGTGTTTTATGGACACGCACAACGGTATGTGGTAGCAACTAGCCTCAAAACTAAATTTTGTGGATAAAGATATATTTTAGAGAATCTCTGCAAAAAAAAGTGTTTATGAAAGATTCTGACTGATTCATGGTTGTTTTTTTTTTTTGAGAATTCAAATTGGGAGATATAAATGAAGAAATGAAGAAACGGAAGTTTATAAATGAAGAAGAAGAGTATAATTTGAGCTTAGTTTCAAAAATAATGAAAAATATAACTAATAAAATTACTTTCATAGGGGTCGACGTTCGGTTACTCGG